TGTAAGCCATGGCTGGAAATTTAATGCAGGTCGCCAGATTTGTAGCGCAGTGCGCTGACCACTACAACCACCGTTTGAACCACACACACAACACCCCTCACATGCATACAGTGAGGTAAAAGAGTATTTGATCCCCTGCTGATTTTGTACGTTTGCCCACTGACAAAGAAATGATCAGTCTATAATTTTAATGGTAGGTTTAATTGAACAGTGAGAGACAGAATAACAACAAAAAAATCCAGAAAAACGCATGTCAAAAATGTTATCAATTGATTTGCATTTTAATGAGTATTTGACCCCCTCTCAATCAGAAAGATTTCTGGCTCTCAGGTGTCTTTTATACAGGTAACGAGCTGAGATTAGGAGCACACTCTTAAAGTAAGTGCTCCTAATCTCAGCTTGTTACCTGTATAAAAGACACCGGTCTACAGAAGCAATCAATCAATCAGATTACAAACTCTCCACCATGGCCAAGACCAAAGAGCTCTCCAAGGATGTCAGGGACAAGATTGTAGACCTACACAAGGCTGGAATGGGCTACAAGACCATTGCCAAGCAGCTTGGTGAGAAGGTGACAACAGTTAGTGCGATTATTCGCAAATGGAAGAAACACAAAATAACTGTCAATCTCCCTCGGCCTGGGGCTCCATGCAAGATCTCACCTCGTGGAGTTGCAATGATCATGAGAACGGTGAGGAATCAGCCCAGAACTACACGGGAGGATCTTGTCAATGAACTCAAGGCAGCTGGGACCATAGTCACCAAGAAAACAATTGGTAACACACTACGCCGTGAAGGACTGAAATCCTGCAGTGCCTGCAAGGTCCCCCTGCTCAAGAAAGCACATATACATGCCCGTCTGAAGTTTGCCAATGAACATCTGAATGATTCAGAGGACAACTGGGTGAAAGTGTTGTGGTCAGATGAGACCAAAATGGAGCTCTTTGGCATCAACTCAACTCGCCGTGTTTGGAGGAGGAGGAATGCTGCCTATTACCACAAGAACACCGTCCCCACCGCCAAACATGGAGGTGGAAACATTATGCTTTGGGGGTGTTTTTCTGCTAAGGGGACAGGACAACTTCACCGCATCAAAGGGACGATGGACGGGGCCATGTACCGTCAAATGTTGGGTGAGAATCTCCTTCCCTCAGCCAGGGCATTGAAAATGGGTAGTGGATGGGTATTCCAGCATGACCATGACCCAAAACACACGGCCAAGGCAACAAAGGAGTGACTCAAGAAGAAGCACATTAAGGTCCTGGAGTGGCCTAGCCAGTCTCCAGACCTTAATCCCATAGAAAATCTGTGGAGGGAGCTGAAGGTTCGAGTTGCCAAACGTCAGCCTCGAAACCTTAATGACTTGGAGAAGATTTGCAAAGAGGAGTGGGACAAAATCCCCCCTGAGATGTGTGCAAACCTGGTGGCCAACTACAAGAAACGTCTGACCTCTGTGATTGCCAACAAGGGTTTTGCCACTAAGTACTAAGTCATGTTTTGCAGAGGGGTCAAATACGTATTTCCCTCATTAAAATGCAAATCAATCTATAACATTTTTGACATGCGTTTTTCTGGATTTTTTTGATGTTATTCTGTCTCTCACTGTTCAAATAAACCTACCATTAAAATTATAGACTGATCATTTCTTTGTCAGTGGGCAAACGTACAAAATCAGCAGGGGATCAAATACTTTTTTCCCTCACTGTAGACATCTCTCCTATGATCTGGTCCTTTGGGGCAAATGCTTTTAGCAAACACCAATTAATACATGAATCAATATCCTGCATTGCCAAGGGAGAAAACAAGTTATTACGAGCGTGTGTAAGTGCGTGTTCATTTGATGTCCTTTATTTAGCCGGCTTGAGAGCCTGGTGAGATTAGTTACGTCGCTGTAGCGATGCATCAAACATGCGATGGTAACATTCGTTTGGAGGGGAGCAGTGGCGCAGTGGTTATCGCCTTGCACAATAAAAACCGCGAGCGTTCGACGCCCGGCCGTGGCTAACAACTGTGATGGGTCATATTTAAAACTGGCCCTGGGCCTCCCCTAGGTACCTGGTGCAGTTTAACATCAGCACTGGAGATAGAAATACGGTTAGGTGTTGAGCTGAGCACACGACTCGCCTTGTGCGCAGTGCCAGCCTGGCAGCACTTGCCCCAGTAGCGTATGTAGGTTATGCTGGGGATCTTTGTCTTTATATATATGTGTGTGCGTGTGCATGAATATTTGTTTGTTGTGTGCGCGTGCCACACACTGCCCCCCGGGAGTTCACACAGCCTCCCCGTGGCCTCTCCAGAGAGAAGTTAAATGAAGCAGGGACTGGCTCTCAGTCAAAACATCCCAGTGCACATTCATCCACACGTGCTCGTACAAAGACAAAGATCCCCCGTGTAGCCTTTAATAGAGTGTTGGGCCAAGTGCTGTTCGCGAATAGCACCTATGAACGTAGGAACGGCACACGAGGGGGTGGTGTGGGAAGCACCATGTCTGAGCACCTTTGCCTCCCCAGTGCTGATGTTTACACACCACACCAGGTACCTATTTAAGGCTGAGTTGAACTAGGGGAGGCTCAGGACCGGTTCAGGTAATTGTCACTGGTGTTGGCCGTCAGTGGGAATCGAACTCGGTTCACCGGGCTCGTAGCGTAGCGCACTAACCGCTTTGTCACCGCTCCCCAGACACTCAAGCCGCACCGACAACACACACTCGCACACTAATTCACACATTCATGCCAACATGCACACACGTATTCACAGATACACACGTACACTGACATATAAACGACCGCATGCAGGAACAGATACAACACCTACACAATCACATGCATAACAAAGACTCACACATGCGTATGCATGCATGCACGTAATGGACACACAAAGACAAGATCCCCCGTATAACTTTGACAGACTGTAGGGACAAGTGCTGTTAGCGAGCACCTATGAAGACTGGAACGGCAAATGAGGGGGTGGGTGGCCAGTACCACGCCTGACCACCTTTGTCTCCTCAGTGCTACTTTATACACACCACACCAGGTACTCATTGAGGCACAAACAAAGACAAAGATCCCCCTATAGTCTTAACAGATTATTGGAGCAGGTGATATTGGCGGGCACCTATGAACGCCGGCACGACACATGAACGGGTGGGGGGCCAGCACCACGCCCGTCCGCCTTTGTCTCCCCAATGACGATGTTTACACATCGCACCCGGTACTCATGTGAGGCTGAATCGACTTAGGGGAGGCTCAAAACCGATTCAGATAATCGTTATTGTGTTGGCCGTGAGTGAAAATCAAACTCGGATCCCTGGGTACGTTGCACAGTGCACTAACCCCTGCACATATATACACATACAGAGATTACACACCCACACGTACACCTACAGCAACAAATGTACAACGCCAAAGATTCTTGCAATGGCCGTATATATGTGCAAACCCAGACACAAATGCAATGGCCGTATATATGTGCAAACCCAGACACAAATGCACGCGCACAAGTGATTATATCCACATGCACCCACACATGCTTGCACACAACACACAGACATGCATGCCCATGCACGCAAACACACACACAGGCAACCCAAATGCAGGCACACGAACAACACAATACACAAATACATTCACATACGTATAAACCACAAAAGCTGCCATTCGCCACTAAGTGTTGGTCACATTCCCTTGTGCCAGGCTAGGTGGACTTTGAGGCCACGGGAAATGTGGAAGGCGCGCAGGCAAGAGGTCACGTAACAGACCCAAGTGTTAAAGGGTGACTGACTGAGACTACTGGCAGATAAACACAGACACACACGGGCACATGTGCAAACAATGCAGACATATGCGTGGATGTCACGTGCAGCCGCACATAAACACAAACATGCATGCGCGGAACCCTTCAAAGACTCAACAGGTGCCAAGAGTTTCCCGCAAGCACTTCACTCAAGACTCCGGCAAATTCTCGGTTCGATCCCCGCAGGGAGGAAGAGGGGACGAGGACTCTCGGGTTCCCCATACAGGATCTTAGGCGCATACTGTACACTCGCAAACAAAGACAAACATCCTTCCGTGCAGCCGAATGGAATGCTAGGGCAAGACCTGTTAGCGAGCGCCTATGAAGGCCGACACGACACACAAGGGGGTGAGAGATTTGGCTTGGCACTACGTCCTTGCCGACCTTCCATCTCCCCAACGCTGATGCTTTACACAATGCAAAAGACACTCACTTTAGACCAGAGTTGACCGAGGGGAGCCCAGTGCTGCCACTCCCCATACCCTGAGTGTAGTTTGGACAGTGAGTACTCACTTGGTGCTGAGGCAAACCCTAGGCGAGGGGGCCTTGTCCAAGACCCAGTCGGTGGTGCTTAGAGTTGAGTCACCCACAATGCACGCGATCTCACATAATCTTGGAAGCTAGGCAGGATAGCGCTAAGTTAGTAGTTGGCTGGAAACCTTTCTGGGAATGGCAGGTGTTGTAGGTTTGAGTTGTGAGGTAGTCAGGAAATGCAAATATGAACAGTGAATTATTGAACATATCCATGCAGAGCTAGGAGTGTTATCCCCCTCGTATATGTGGAGTTTTCTCCGGACACTCTGGTTTCCTCCCACACGAAGTCAAATGCTCATTCGTGGCACCAACCAAGCATCCCAATGCAGGACCCTCCTGAAAACCAGTTCTGAGACTTAGCAAGGTTTCCCTCAATACATAAATGGCACAATTTATTCATCATAATCACAGACCTCGATCAAATCTCCAAGATGAGCCTAATCTGATCAGATTTCTAACCCTAATCAGCTAAGTAGCAGGGTAGAGCCGAAAGTGGTGGAGAGCAGACAGCCGGCTACCCCAATCTGCGCTAACCAGCACGGCCAAACCACCACTACCCCCGCCATATAACCCGCACAGAATTGGGCAGGCCCTCATCCAGCACGTGCGTGTACATTCGTTGTGATCGTTATCATTTCACGCTGAGCCGATGTAGGGGTGATCCAGTCTCGCACCTTGTCGGTGGCGCGGACAGTGAACGTCTCCGTCGAGACGTCGGCTCCGAGCGAGCGGCTCACGCACAGCGCTCCGCTCCGAGTCCCCACGGAGAGCCAGGGGGACGCGGCGGCGGCATCCAATGAGGGGACACGGGGGACAACGGCCGAGACGGCAGCTGGCTCCAGCGAGTAGCGGACTTCTCCGAATTCACCGCCGTCACCATCCAGTGCCACCACCTGCACCGGCAAGGCAAGGAACGGCGACAAGCGTCATCATCAGCAACAGCATCATTGACCATCAGCAGTTGTAGGAGCAGCAGCATCTTCATAATTAGTTTTGGCGTAATGATTATTATCATCATTGGTTTCAGCATCGTCATCATGGTCAGCAACCTTTTGATCAGCATCATCATCAAGATCAGCATCGTCATTAGCACCATCGCAATCATCTTCAGTGGCAGCAGCAGTATCACAATTTAATATGGACATCAACTCATCATCCTCTACTGTGCTTAGAGTCTGGAACTCCTTTCCACGAAAAATCCATGCTGTTGACTCCTTGCCCCTCTTCAAGTCCAGGCTCATGAACTTCCTTTTTCTCCTCTGCCTATCACTGGTTGGCTATTTCTCCCTATACAATATACATGACCGCTCTTCCTGTACAGCGTCTTGGGACGCAGTTGCATTTCCACACGGTATACAAATTATACATTGTATACGCACAGGACACACATATATACACTCTCAAAAACGGCACACACACAATCTATGGCACTCATACACACATTATACACTAAACACATGTACACACGCTATACATGAAAGACAAATATCCTCCGTATAGCCTTCAACAGACTGTTGGGGAAAGTGCTGTTTAACGAGCACCTATGAAGACCGGCACAGCGTACAAGGGTGGCCAACACCACGCCCGCCCACCTTCGTCTCCCCAGTGCTGATATTTACACACTGTACCGGGCACTCATTCAAGGCTGAGTTGACCTAGGGGAGGTCAGGACTGGTTCAAGTATTCACCGCAGTTATTGGGAATGAAACTCGAGTCGCCGGGTTCGGAGGACAGTGGCTCTTACCACTGCGCCACCACTCCACTTACATTAATCACAAAGCCACATACACACTTGACACACCATACACACTGAACACACAATATACACCAAGCACTCACACATACTTAACACACTACACACTTAACACAGATACATTACACACTTAACATACATTATACAGTAAAACACACACACTCGCCACATACCAACACACGCGCGCTCATTTCCGATCCAGCGTTGCCATGGAAATTCCACAAAAAATGACACATATCACCATGTAACTACTCACACACCTCATACCCCCCACACACACACATCAATACCGCACGGTCAAGGTCATGAGGTCATCACGACCAATGCTGACACAACTCTCCATGACACAACTCTCCATCGCTCCCTTTCTTATGCCAGATTTCTCAGAAGCTGCGCAGTCAACGACCAGTCTCCAAGCCCATCTGGCTCTAGGTCTTCTCACTGTGGCAAAGTTGACAGGGGTCCTCCAAGGACCGCCCTTACAGTCCCATTATCGCTGACCTCCGGGTACCACTCCAACGCCTGTCTCGGTAACCTTCCCTCCTCCACCCTGCACACGTGCTCCCACCCATCACAACCTCCTCTCCCTGATCACATATAGAGCGGCTAATAGCCCCAATTCTGTTCCAAACCTGTAAGTTTCTAACCCTATCCTTCTCCATCTTGCACACGTGTTCCACCCATCACATGCTCCTCTTACTGATTACATCCGCAGCACTTTCGATGCACGTTCTGTTCAGACCCTCTAAGTCGTTTACCCTATCCTGGCATGAAATTCCTGGCATCCTCCACATGCTCCTGTTTCTCAAAGGCCAGAAGCTTCTTTTCTCGTTGCTTTGATAGAGTCCAGCCCCCTGACCCGGTGCACCGACACGGACATTACTCCTGCCTCAAACACCCGTCTCCTCACGTGAAAGTTGACCTCTCTACGCTCGCGCAGTGGTTTATGCGATCAACGTTACACCTCCCCGCCCACACCTCACCCTTCACCAAAACTGAAACTTCAACACCACACCCTCACCCAAACCTCACACATCAACACCACCCCCCTCACGCTTCACCTAACCTAACACCTCAACACAACACTTCATTCAAAACTCACCCATCAACATCACAGCTCACTCAAAAACTGACCCCTCAACATCACAGCTCACTCAAAACTCACCCATCAACATCACAGCTCACTCAAAACTCACCCCTCAACATCACAACTCACTCAAAACTCACACCTCAATACCACTCGACCCAAAACTCACCCTTCACCAAAACTCGCACATATCAATACTACACCTCACCCAAAGAAGTCCCACCACACATACGGGTGGTAAAACTCAAAGTTCTGTAAAGATTCGAGAACCTTTGGGCAATTCCTTCCCTATCCAGTATTTTTGCAAGATAGATCAACAACCCACTTGCTGCCCCGCTATCAACTCAAAGCCTCACACTTTGGGAGTCTTACAAAGTACGTCACTACCACACGCCCCACGACCACCACTGCACACCAACATCTCTCAAAGCACCACACCACACAGCACCTCACTGCTACACATACCCCTCACAACTACACATTCCTCCCACCCACACCACCACCAGATTTACATTCCTCACACCACCACAACACCCAACTGACGACACCCCTACAGATCTCACACCACTACCACGCCAGGAACCGCCACACGACACACCACCTCACATCCGTCTCACCTCACACCACCACTACGTCACTACCAAACATGTATGCAACTGTCACCGCATACCACCACTACCACCTTATTACCAAGCATATATGTAATTCACACCACCACCACCCCCATATTCTTTTCACCTCATGCCACCACTACCACCTCACTATCAAACATCTATGAAACTCACACAATCACCACCACATTCCTCTCACCTCATGCCACTACCACCACCAACTCACTCCCAAACATCTACGTAACTCACACCACCACCACCACCACACATCCACATTCCTCTCACCTCATGCCACCACCACCACCACCCTGCTCCCACCCCCCTTCACTCCCTCCCCCACACAAACGTGAGCGAAGGATCACTCACGTAGAGCTGAGTGAAATGAGGTCCCATGTAGAGTTTATTGTTTTAGGGAGGAATCTTTAGACGGACACAGACACACACGGGGAGTCACGGGTAGTCATTGGTAGATGCGCTACAACATACGTGGACACACGCGGAGTCACAGAGAGACACATTGAGAAATGGAGAGACACAGGAGGCACGAGGAGACAACACGGAGAGATATACCGAGACACGGGGAGACACGGGGAGACACATTGAGAAATGGAGAGACATAGGAGGCACGAGGAGACAACACGGAGAGATATACTGAGACACGGGGAGACACGGGGAGACACATTGAGAAATTTGGAGACGAGGCACGAGGAGACGTGGGGAAATACACTGAGAAATTGGGAGACACGGGACACATACTGAAACAAAGGGAAACACGCGAAGGCTACACATTCTGAGACACGGGAGACATGCTTGATGGGATACATCGAGACACGGGGTCACACACAGCCAGACACAAACACCTACGGGCACAGAAACACAGACATAAACAGGCTCACACCCACGGGCACACATACATACACATAGAAACGGACACACACACAGAAACGCATAATAATATACATTCACAAACATCCACACATGCATGCACAATCCCACAAATATACACGCATCGAGACAGGCAAAGATATCCAGGTAGGGACTCATTCTGGCGCACAAAGACAAATACAAAATAAAGATCCCCCGTATAGCCTGTAACAGACTGTAACAGACTGTTGGGGCAAGTGCTGTTAGCGAACACCTATGAAGGGCGGCACGGCACACGAGGGGGTGGATTGCCAACACAACTCCTGGCCGCCTTTGTCTCCCCGGTGGCGATGTTTACACACCGCACCAGGTACACATTTTGAGGCTGAGTCCACCTAGGGGAAGCCCAGGACCGGTTCAGATAATCGTCACCGGCGTTGGCCGTGAGCGGGAATCGAACTCGGGTCGTTGGGTTCGTAGCGCAGCGCGCTAAACCGCTGCACCACCGCTCCCCACTGGCGCACACCCCCCATTAGGGACCACGTATAGGCAGACGAACCGACAGGTAGAGGCACCAACACACAGGTTCACACCCCTATCGGCAGACACACCTACAGGCAGCCGCAACTCCAAGCGCACACACACATCCACTGGCAGACCGGGGGTTTGGGAGTGGGAGGAGGGGAGTTGGGTTAAGAAACCCAGAACGGGTGGGGTCTGGCGTGTGTCCACAACGCTTACAGCTTTACACACCACACGAACACACACGCGACATACACGCTACATACACGCTACACGTACAAAGACCCCCGTATAGCCTGTAACAGACTGTTGGGGCAAGTGCTGTTAGCGAGCACCTATGAAGGCCGGTACGGTTCACGAGGGGGTGGGTGGACAACACCACGCCCGGCCGCCTTTGTCTCCCCAGTGGCGATGTTTTACACACCGCACCAGGTACTCATTTGAGGCTGAGCCGACCTAGGGGACGCCCAGGACCGGTTCAGACAATCGTACACCCTCTCGCACACTAGACGCACCAGTACGCTCACGTGCACGCAATGTACATTCACGTATACACGCAGTGTGTTGTGCACACACCGTTTTGGTTGGTGTGGCCTGTACATGGTATATGCACGGTGTGTTGGGTACACAGCCTTGTGTGTACACGGGGTGGTGTGTCCACTGCCCGGTGTAAAGAGTTTTGTGTACACGGTATGTGTACTGTGTGTGTTCTATATACGCTTTATTATATGTAGATAGTATGGTGTTTACCCGGTGGTAGGGGGTACATTGCGTTGTGTGTACACTGTCCACAGTGTGTGTACGGTGTGGTGTGTAAACTGCTTCACGTTTACTAGGTGTGTACACGATATGGGGTGTCCACGGCTTGCTTGTGTACGTGGATGCACAGTGAGGGAAAAAAGTATTTGATCCCCTGCTGATTTTGTATGTTTGCCCACTGGCAAAGAAAAGATCAGTCTATAATTTTAATGGTATGTATATTTGAACAGTGAGAGACAGAATCACAACAACAAAATCCAGAAAAACGCATGTCAAAAATGTTATAAATGGATTTGC